TTATTTGCAAATATAGTCTGTGTTTCATTGGGGTTGGATTTATTATTAACCAAACCAGTCTTATAAAAAACAATAAACACGTACATATTTGACAAAGAAAAATACAATAGAATCCGCCTATAATAACATCGAAGATAAATGACAAACACGTCATACTAAGCGAACATCATACAAAGCAGTCTTAGAAAATAAACAACTTTCAATACTAGAAAAATGAACGAAAATGTTACTAATTATTAAGCATTTGGGTCACTATAGCCGGATATGATTTCTTGAGAATCAGTCATAATAAACGATATGTCATTTTAAACGGAGTCATTATATCCAAACTTACCTATAGAGAATTTAATATGAAAATCAAACTTAGCGCTGCAATTACTTCATATTAAGCGGTTGGTCAATATAGCCGGAGTCATAATAATGGAATTCCACTGTACACTGTAGTTTATAAACTCAAACCTTCTGGGCCTAATGTTTATATTGGTTAAACGGAGAGGAATTTGGAAACTAGGTTTGAAGGAGATACACTGTATATTTTTACTCTTAGAATTTAGTGGTAAGTACTCATGCCCGAAGAAATCAAAATGTCTCATATTAAGCGAAAACAGTTTTGTGAAAATCTACTTTTGTTTCCCTTAAATTATTACCTCTTTTCTAATAGCCAAAGCAAACTTCCACACGCACGTGTTATCATGTAAAAGCATTCGATTGCTGAGTAAATAGGGCGAAAACGTAAATATTGATGTAATGATTAAGCTACCGTACAGAACCGCCTCCGCAATTTCATATGCCTACAAATATATTATAATGTCCCGACATTTGTTTTCGAGAGTAAATAATTGAAGAATTTGAAAGAAATTGTTGGTGAACAGTTCTAAATCGTTCAACAATTTCACCACATAAACATGTACGTACAAATGTACATGTACCATTCAACATTAAATAAAATAACGAAATAATTAATTAAGATTAAAAGCGAAGAAAATTATAGGTGCCGGTCAGTTTATCAATAGA